CATATAGAGATGATAAGAAAGATAGACAAAGGGACAGAGAGATACAGATAAATAGATAATAGATAGATGAGACACAGAAAGATAGAGAGACAGAGCGAGAGTGAGAGCGAGAGAAAGAGAGAGAGAGAGAGAGGGAGAGAGAGAGAAAGAGAGAGAGAGAGAGAGACAGAAAGAGAGAGAGAGAGAGAGAGACAGACAGACAGACAGAGAGACAGTCAGACAAAGAGAGAGAGACAGAGAGACAGACAGACAGACAGAGAGAGACAGTCAGACAGAGACAGACAGACAGACAGACAGACAGACAGACAGAGAGAATGAGAGAGACAGAGAGAGAGAGACTTGTACTGCCACTTTGTGGGTTAGGCTTTTCTTTGAACCTTCTAGACAGCAATCCCCTTTCCCCGTGGACTTGCATTGCCTGTAATAGAGGGATGGCAAGGTCCTTTTCTCTTGCTTCCCCAAATCATGAGCCCCCCTCATTGATCCTCCAGCCACAGAAGCCACATGGGTAAATCGATTCTTCTCTTTCCCAGGTGCAAAGTTACCTAGAAGTTATCCTCCCCTCTCTAAAAGACCAGTACTTTGAATACTTGAACTTAGCTCATCCATGAGGCAACACTCATGGCTGGTGGGGGCAACAAATCTTCCCTTTGTGGGCAGAAGACTAGATTCTGGGACAACGATGCCTAGAAGATTTGAAATCTCTCCTCTTCTACACAGGAGATTGGGTTGTTCAGGAAACAACTAGCTCTTTATAGCGTTTTCTGTGGGTAAAGTTGGGGGAAGCCATCGATTGGGGAATGGCTGAACAAATTGTGCTATGTGATTACAAAGGAATACTATTTTACTATGAGAAATGATGAGCAGGATGTTCTCAGGAAAACCTGGAAAGCCTTAGATGATCTGATACTAAGTAAATGTACTGTGTACAAAGTAACAGCGATATTGTGGGATGATCAACTATGAAGGACTTGGCTATTCTCAGCAATACAACCATCCAAGACAACTCTAAAGGATTTAATGATGAAACATGCTATCCATCTCCAGAGAAAGAACTGATGGTATCTGAATACAGATTGAAGCATGCTTTTTTTACTTTCTTTTTTTCCTTGAGTTTTTGTTGTTGTCATTGTTTGTTTTCTTTCACAACAGGACTATTAGGGATATGTTTTACAGGACTATACACGTAGTGTGTAGTCCTAGATCAAATCGCCTGCCTTCTTAATGAAGGTGGGGGGAGGGGTGGGGAGGAAGGAAGGAAGGGAGAGAATTTGGAACTCAACATTTTGAAACAAGTGCTAAAAATTGCTTTTACATGTAACTGGGGGAAAATAGAAGCTAAAAAAACAGAACGACCTAGCTCCCTTCTCAGGCCAAGTGGGCAGGTACACACTGCATCCACCATGTGTTCCTGTAGGGACTCTCCCAGAGCCCCAAGCACCACCATCTCTTAGGTGGGGAAATCCATTCTTAGGCACTTTCCTCTTTGGCTACACTGAGCACATGTTGATTCCAGCCATGTGATGGTACTGAAAGTCCCCATCAATGCTCCTAGTGGGGTAGGGAAAAAAAGAGAAATCCCTTCTCCTATGCCATATACTAAGAAAAAAGCAAAAGGGACAAGAGTAGTCTGTCTTCCTATCACTCTTACTTACAGGCCAGTACAAAGGACTTAGAATAAGACCATCCTCATAAGTCCCAGCTGGTCGACTGTCCTGGGAGTAGCCCCACTCATTGGGAACCAATCAGGAGGCAGAACTTGTCCTTTCCAGGTGCCAGTGCACCTCTGTGGGGAGAGATAAGCTCAACAGGATGGAATCCTGCCTTATCAACACTTCTTGTTCTGATTAGAATGAGAAGCATCAGCTTTGGGCACAAGACAGTAAAGTCCTGAGAGTTTACAAATGTAGATTGGACTCTTACTGGGGCATGAGACCCCTGCTCTTCAGCACTGGACAGGGGCTGCCCGAGCTCTAGAGCCCCTTCTTTGATGGACATACCCCTATTCCCTACCTGCTGCACTTCCTTCTCCTTGCTAAAGTCTTCCCAGTAGGTGGTCAGCAGGAAGGCACCATAGGCGCCTTTTAATGCTCCCTTCACAGCCTCTTGGTCATTCAGGTCACACTTCACCACTTCAGCTCCCAGGTCTCGAAGGGCCAGGGCAGCAGGTCTGGTCACATCCCGAGTCAATGCTCTTACAGAAAAGTCTTTGTCCTCCAAAATGGCTCTAGCAACAGAACCACCCTGAGAACCTGGTGAGGAAGAAAATCAATTTAAAAGTGAACAAATGTCTTGAGAAATGAAGGAATGAATAAACATGCATACATATGTGTGTGTGTTTGTATATATACAGGTTGTGTGTGTGTGTGTGTGTGTGTGTGTGTGTATGAGGAATCAGAAAGGGAGGCTCTCAGAACACTTGGCTTAGGGTCAGGAATCCTGGGATTGGTGTGTTTGTACCAATAATTGTTACTTGTGTTAAATTATTCTACTTTTCTAATCCTCTGTTTCCTTATCCATAAAATGGAGCCAATAATACAAACACTACTAATGGGATGGATTGGAGCATTACATCCCAACTCTTCCTACCCTGGCCCCCACTTATATAAAAAGGATAGAACAAATCTGTCTTGGACTCCTCCTTTTGGGGGCCCCATCCGTCCTCTGGGACCTCCGACCTCCCCACTCTGCTCCAGCCCTCCTATGGGGAGTAGCAGCCAGGGGCATGGGGGAAGAGGGCTCAAATGAAATCTTCATGTAAAGCACTTTACAAATGCTAGTTATTTTTCTGCTTATTAGCTGCAGCAGCAGCAGCAGTAGCCTACATTTCCCAGACTGGTAATGCCTTCATTCCCTGAGCCTTGTATTCCCCTCCTGCTAAGCTCCAGCAATGTTTATGCAGCCCTATCAGAGTGTGTTGGCAAATGTTTAACAACCAGGCTGGGTGGGGTGGAGTGAGGAGTGCATAAAAGCAACATTTTAACTTTTAATCTGCCTTGTTAGCATTTTCCCATAACTTTCCTAAGTCCAAAAAACAAATCAAGCCCTGATTTATAGCAGGCACTCATTTCTGACCCATGATCATTGACCCTGAAAATTTCACAATCTCTTCTGCTGCAGGATGAAGCTCATTGTACCACCAGATCCTGCTCAGATGCTCAGCCACAAGGTGTTAGTTCATGAGGTAGCACACCTGGGAATTGGGAGGGCAGGGTCCGTATTTAAATTGCAGACTCAAAAAATAGCAGCTTGAAGACCCAGTGGAATCAAAAGAGCTGTGAGCTGTTGATGCTCTAATTTGGTGAAAGGGCCCCTTCCAGCCTTCTTTTTTCTCCAGCTGTTCTGGAACTGCTAGCTGGCACCCTGGACACTCTGCTCCCCTATCTAAAGTCCAAGAGCTTTGCCAGCTGGGTCAGAAGCTTCTTGCCATCTTCCAGGACCCACATAAACAGCAATGTTTGGCTCTTAGTGATCACCATTTCCTTTGCCAAAAACACGCACACCATGCCTTTAAAACCAGGTTTAAGAATTTTACCAAGAGAAAAAGTCAAGTCCACTGTCCTATCATTTGTGGAATCCCTCCAGCTGGACCTGCAGTCAGGAAGACCAAGTTTGAACTGGCCTCAGATACTTACTAGCTAGGTGATCCTGGGCAAGTCACTTTGCCTCTCTTTGCCTCAGTTTCCCCAACTGTAAAATAACCTGTAAGTTCCCTTTCTGCTCTAAATCTGTGATCAGTCTCTTGAGGAAGGTACTACCCTTGTCATTTCTGTTACACATGAGGAAACTGAGGCTTGGAGAGATTGTGACTTTCCCAATACATTATTAATGTCTGAGGTGGGATTTAAACTCAGATCTTTCTGTCTCTAAATCCAACACTCTGTGCACTACTCCATACTGCTTCTTGTCAGAAGAACACATTTCCTAGCTCTTCCCATTCACCCCAAATCCCCCACATAGGCATTTGCTAATTCCTTTTCCAACTAAGAAAATGAAGGGAAGAAGAGAATTGAAGACACAGCCTACCTTGGCAAATAAAGCACAGATTTACACAAGCCAAGGCATGATCCAAAAAAGTAAACAAACAGGGGCAGCTAGATGGCGCAGTGGATAAAGCTCTGGCCTTGGAGTCAGGAGGACCTGAGTTCAAATCCAGCCTCAGACACTTGACACACTTGACATGTACTAGCTGTGTGACCCTGGGCAAGTCACTTAACCCTGATTGCCTCACCAAAAAACAAAAAAATGAACAAAGTAAATAAACAAAGAGAGAAAAATACGATAGGGAACTCTTTCTGAGAACATTTCCTAAAATCAAATCAAATTAAATCCTCCTTCTTGCTGCCAACACAAGAAATTCAAGTGGATTCTTTGTTAAAGGTCCCTAGAAGAATCACAGCTTGAAAACTGAAAGGGAACTGAGAGATCAATGAGTCCATCCCCCCTCATTTGATAGATGAGGAAACTGAGGTCCAACTCTTAAACACTTGCCCAAGGTTGAACAGGGACATCAGGTCCAACCACCTCCCATTTTACAAGTGAAGTAAGTGAGGTGCAGAGGTGAAGAGGTTTGCCCAAGGTCATACAGGTAGTAAGTAGCAGAGGAAAGATTTGAACCCAGGTCCTGTGCCTGCTATGCCTCATCTGCCTCTGTTCTTTACACAAGCCATGCTCCTACAGTCATCCGATGATAGATAGCCTAAGCCTGCCCCCACAGAAGCATGAATAAAATCTTCAGACAACCTTCCCCCAATGGAAAAAGGAAGTTCTTTTTACCTGTTGCCCCAAACACAGCGATGACTTTCTTGCTTGCCATGTTGCTGAGCCTAGAATCAGTGGAAGGACAGGCTGTGAGAAGGTCTGCCCCTGTCCAGCTTCAGCACCAGACTGGAGAGTCCTGCCTTTCACTGTCCGGCCTCAGATTGCTCCGCCCTATCCTGCCTTGTTCTCAAGCAGAGCAGAAGAAGAGAGATTAGGTGAATTCTCTGACTCACCATGATACTGCAGTTTTCTCCAGTAATTAACAGTGGAAAGAAGGCTGGGCCAAGAGTCAGGAGAGACCTGGGTTTGAATCCTACCACGGACACTTCACTGTGTGACCCTGGGCCAGTCAAGCAACCTAGGTGAGCTTCAATTTCCTCACCTATAAGAATGAGCAAGCATACTTGTAGATATAACTAAGGCAAGATGGTCAGGGCTTTTCACTAGGGCTCCCAAATCCAGGAAGCACAGAAAGTACTATGCTCTTTGAAGTGAGTAGAAACAACTGAGCTTAGCACCTAGTTGGCAAACATTGGTTAAAATGGGAAATTATCTAGTGCTAGTGTAGAGGTGGTGAAGTGAAAGAATGCATGGCCTGGAGTCAGGAAGACCTGAATTCAAATGCTGCCTCAGGCACTTTACCAGCTATATGACCCTGGGCAAGTCACTTAACCCTGCTTGCCTCAGTTTCCTCATCTGTAAAATGAGCTGGAAAAGGAAATGGCAAACCACTTCAGTGCCTTTGCCAAGAAAGCCCACATGGGGTCGTGAAGAGTCAGATGAGACTGGACCAACTGAACAATAACACAATTCTGAGAATTCTGGCAGAATGGGTGATTTGGGCAGCGTGGGACACTCTTGGTATAAGTGCTCCTTCCACCAGGGCAGATGCATTCCAACCCCTAAGGACTGCCTTGAGGACCAGAGAAGTTGACCAACATCCCACGGTTAGGAGATGTCTGAGGCTGGAGGAGGTAGAAGGACTTACTGACTCCACCCTCAAGTACCAGATGCAGGATGATCCTACTGCATCTAGACTGCTTAATGCCAATGTGCTCTGACTTGCCCAATCCTTTTCACATCACCCTGGCACCTCCACCCAGTTTGTTGGCCTCCGTCTTGTCCAGCCTGCTTCTTGATTCCACCTGACTGGTTTCTCTTTCTTTCACTACTGGGGTCCCCATCGACGGCCAGCTGTATCTCCTGACCAACCTTTGCTGGAAGCATCATCCAGGTTCAGCTCATCCTGCTCAAGGTAAAGAAGCTAGCCTTTGAACTTGGGTAAGCACCCTCTTTTAAAGTTTCTTTTTAACTGTTAATGATGAGATGTTGATTCTCTATGTAAAGCAATTTGGAAAGGAATTTAACAATTTCGCAAAACTGCAGTCACCTGATTGGTGATGGGTTTGTTTCAAGTTTCAAATTGGTGAACTTGTTGTATCACTTATGTCAAGCAACTTTTCATAATTTGGCGATTATTGGTTATTGTTTTAATGTGTAAACTTGCCAAAAAGCCTCTTTGCGTTTTGTCTTGCCGAGAATTTGCAATTACATAGAAATCACCAATGATTGGCTTTTTACACCGGGACAAATTTTAAGTTTGAGATGTAAATCCTGGAAAAGTTTTTACTAAGCTGTGATTAATGAAACTTGCTGCTTGAGGGAAAAGCTCGTAGGATTTTCTTTTGAGTTGTCTGATGGGTCATAATCCATTGATAATCAATAATTCACCATCTAAGAGAAATGCCACAAGCTACTCAGAGAAGGTGATACTGGTGGGAAGTCAGCATCAGGAAAAGCTGAGAGGACAATTTTAGCCTCAGTCTAAGTTGGGATCCTCCCAGCTTGGTTTCTCCACTATATTCCTTTGAAAGGGAGTGTTACCCACCTGGCTATTCCTGAGTCTGGCTTATGAGGTGGATTTAATACTGCATGGTTGGAAAACTGAATTATCTGAATCCAAACAAAGCTGAGGATGTTTCATCCTCTCACAGTTGGGCCCTAATCTAGTCACTGCTTTATATCTGGGCCCTGAAGGCTTTTTTTCTTTTGTCAGATTTGTGTCTTCCAGACTAGGAGCCATTAACCTACAGCTGGTAGCAAACAGCAGGAACCATCCAATGTCCTCTTGTCCTTCCTTGGATGCAGCCTGTGCTCTGTTCCAGTCAACTTCTTTGGGACCTCCTCAAGGCATGGACAGCTCTACACTCCTTGCCAGCAGGAAGCAGTTTCAGAAGCCACACTTTGCCCCTTACCCCAAAAGAATTTCAGTCCCATTCCTTCGAGGGGGAGTGATGAGGATGGGATCTAGACCTCAGAAAGGAAAAACCCTGGACTTTACCACTTGGCCAAATGTCTGGCATTCACCTGAGGCTATAATCCCATCAACTGGCCTTTCTTTGTGGCTATACCTAATCTCCCCTCCATTGTCTTACCTCCCTATGGCCCCTGGCCATTTCCCACACTTAATCCTAGTTAGACTCCATTGTCCAGGTGCCAGGAGTTCTGTTCACCCCAGTTTACTGGCCACTCCTATCCACATCTCCTTGGACCCCTCCTCCCATCACCCCAAACTGCATGGCCACTCCTACATCCTTCTCACAGGCTTTCTTGTCCATTTTGTCTCCCTTAAGATGCTGGGATTCTTATAATCTAGCCACTGCTTAGATTTTTATAATCTTATACTCTAGCCAATAAGCCAATAGCTACTAATGTTCAGACTCCTTAAGAGTCTGCCCAATATGATGGATGTTCTAATAAACCTTATCTTTGGCTGAAAGAAGGCTTGGGTCACATTCTTTTGGACAGGACCCGCATGTTGTGATTTGGGGGTCCGAGCACCCCTGAAACCCTAAACTGCATCAGGTATGCCACAAGGTTGTCATGGAAAGCACTTTGGAAATGTTAGAGCAACAGATAAATGTACATGGTGGTGATGAGGAGGAAGTCAAGTGAGGTGGCTGGGAAAGAGGAGGTCAGTGACCCTTCCAGTTTTAATACTTTATGTCTTATAAAACATCCGTGAAAAGATCTTCCCCACCTTCCTAGAAGGAGCTGGTAGGCAAAAGTTATTGTAAATAAAAGTCTGATAGAGCTCCTGATCCATGGCCAGCAGCACTGGCGCGGCTTCTACTCTAGCCAAAGACAGGAGAGTAGAGCACCACGTCATTGGCCTTGGCACCACACAAAGTGAGCCCATAGAGTACTGACTTTGGAGTCAAAGGACATAGGTTCTAATCTTGTCTCTGATGCTTTCTGCCTATGGGATCCTGGACAAATAATTTCCCCACTTGGGGTCTCAGTTTCGTTCTCTGTAAGATGAAAGGACTGAATTTGACAGTCTCTGAAGCCCCTGACAGCTCTACAGTAATGATCTATGACCTCCCTGGGCCTCAGTTTCTCCATCTGTAAAATGAGGGGATTATACTAGATGATCTCCTATCTTTTCCAGCTCTAGATTTATAATTTTGTGAGCATTCTAAGCCTCAGTTTCCTCAACTGTAAAATGAAGGGGCTGACCAAGAGGGTTCATGAGGTCCCTTCCAGCCCTAGAGTTATCATTCTATGCCTCAACTTCCCTGTGCCTCAGTTTTCTCATATAACATATATCATATCATGTCAGGTCAGGTCACATAACATAACATAACATAACATAATAATAGCTAGCATTTACAGGGCACTTGAAGGTTTGCAAAGTACTTTGTATACATAACTCATTCAATCCTCTCAAAGACCCTGGGAGGTAGGTGCTGTTATTATATTATTATTCCCATTTTACAGATGACATGAGTGACTTACCCAGAGGTGCACAGCTGGTCTAAGTATCTCAGACAAGATTCAGATTGGGGCCTTCCTCATCTCAGATCCTCTTTACCGTCGACATGGCCTCTGAAGTGCCTTCCCACTCAATCTGTGATCCTGTGACCTCTCCGGCCCTCAGTTTCCTCATATATAAAGTCAATCAGTTGGGCCAAATGGCCTTTGAGGTGCCTTCCGCTCTAGGTCTCAAAGCCTCTTCAGGAATCCAAGGGGAAAACTAAGGGGAAGGAGGAATATGCCTTCCTTCCTGATCTGGGGCCAGACTCAAGGCAGTTTTTTAGGCCTTTAAGGAAAACCTGCAGAAAGGCCTCACTGGGCTAACTACCCCCAGAAATACCCACCTTGGGCAGTCTGAAGGTAATGGAGAGGGGTCCAGGATTCTGACAGCCCTGCACGCGGCAGGGACAAAGGACAATAGCAGATCCTTTGGCCCTGGGCTGTGTACAGTGAAGCACCTTCTGCTTTTCCCCCTTGGCCAGTATCAGGGTGCACATCCTGGGTATCAACATCAGCTTTCTTAAGCACAGTGGATAATTTTGATTGCATTAAATTAAAAAGGTTTTGCACAAACAAAGCCAATGCAACTAAGATTAGAAGAAAGGTAGAAAGTTGGGAAGGAATTTTTACAACCAGTCTCTCTGATAAAGGCCTCATTTCTAAAATATATAGAGAATTAAGATAGATTTATAAGAATTAAAGCCATTCCCCAACTGATAAATGGTCAAAGGATATGAACAGACAGTACTCAGATGAAGAAATTAAAGCCATCTATAGTCATATGAAAAAATCTCTAAATCGTTACTGATTAGAGAAATACAAATCAAAACACCTCTGAGGTACCACATCACACCTATCAGGTTGGCCAAGATGACAAAACAGGGAAATGATAAATGTTGGAGAAGATGTGGGAAAATTGGAACACTAATGCATTGTTGGTGGAGTTGTGAAATGATCCAACCATTTTGGAGAACAATTTGGAACTATGCCCATAGGGCTACAAATATGTGCATACCTTTTGATCTAGCAATAGCACTTCTAGGGCTATATTCCAAAGAGATCAAACAAATGGGAAAAGGACCCACATGTACAAAAATAGTCATAGCAGCTCTTTTTGTGGTGGCAAAGAATTGGAAATTGAGAGGATGCCCATCCATTGGGGAATGGCTGAGCAAGTCGTGGTATATGAATGTAATGGAATACTATTGTGCTATAAGAAATGATGAACAGGCTGACTTCAGAAAAATCTGGAAAGACTTGTATGGTCTGATGCTGAGCGAAGTGAGCAGAACCAAGAGGACTTGGTACACAGTAACAGCCACGTTATGCAATGACTAATATTGTTAAACTGAACCCTTCTCAGCATTACAAGGATCTGAGACATCTCCAGAGACCTCGGGATGGAAAATGCTGTCCACATCCAAAGAAAGAACTATGGAAGTCTAATCGCTCTCACTTATTTTTATCTTCTGTTGAGTTTTGTTTCATCTTTCTGATGGTTCCTCCTATTGGTTTTAATTTTTACTTACAACTTCACTAATGTGAAAATATGTTTAATAGGAATGTAAATGTAAAGCCTATATCAAGTTGTGTCTTGGGGAGGGTGGGCAGGGAAGAAGGGGGAGAAAAATTTTAAACTCAAAAGAATATGGAAGTGATTGTTGATAAATCAAAATAAATTAATAATTTTTTTTAAAAAACCATCAGCTTTCTTGGTGGATTCTGACCCCTTCATTCTGTGCCTTGTGGTAAGGGGAGGGGAAAGCCAGAAAGCTGTGCCGTTCTGGATTCTACCAGTGACAGCAGAGGGCAGCAGAGAGCTATGACAGAGAGACAGATGAAATCCACCCAGGTAAGGATGGAGAGGGAGCCTCAGAGGGCAGGTAGGCAGGTGTGCCCAGCAGGCAGGCAGACTGGAGGAGTGAAGCTGGGAACCCCTCTCACCCTGACAAGGGAGGAGGTACAAGAAATGGGGTGGGGTGGGGTAGAGCCTGTGCAAGTGACGCTCTAAATCTGGAGCAAAGAAGATTCAGGGACAGCCCAGTAACACTATATGCCAGGCAACCTGCTAAGCACTGGGGACCCAAAGACAAGAAAACTTTCACATCCATTTTCACATTTGATACTCACAACAATCGTGTTATGGTGACGATATTATTTCCATTTAATAGATGGGAAAACTGAGGCTCAGAAAAGAGAATTCACACACCAAACATCAGACAGCCAAGAGCCAAGACCAGAACGAGGTCTCCTGACTCTCAGGCCAGTGCTCCATCTGAGGTCACAGCATCAGGAAATAGGCAGAGAATGACTTGGTAAGCTCACCCTTGAAAACGACCCTCCCATGTGTTTATACTTAGCAATGTCACAAGCATTAAGGAAAGAACCACCTTCAGCGAGATACAAGATTAGGAAGACTTGCTTCTGTATCCATAATGCTGGGGACCCATCTGTTCCACGCCAGTTGTCTTAGTATCTTCCCTGAGTATCCAGTACAGCACAGATGTTTAATAAATGAATGAAAAGTCCTTTATTATGCACTTACCATGTTCCAAGAACCTTGCTTGTGAAATAGTTCTTGGGTGGATAGATGGATGGATGGATGGGTGGATGTATGGATGGAAGGATGGATGGATGGATGGATGAATTAACAGACCTCTTCTGGCAGGTCAGAGTGTTGTTAGGAAAGACATGGAGATCTTTTGCCAATATAGCATAATTTTCCTTTCTCAAAATGAAGATCAGATGACCTCCAGGGTCCAAACCACACTGCAGCTGAATGTCAAGAGAAGTAAAAGCTATCAGAAGCCCAAGAGAAGATGAGGAGGAAGAGGAGGCAGAAGAGAAAGAGGAGGAGGAGAAGGAAGAAAAGAAAAGGAAGAGGTAGAAGAAGAGAGGAGGAGGAAAAGGAAGAAGGAAGAAAAAGGAGAAAGTGAAGGAGGAGAAGGAGGAGATGAAGAAGAGGAGGAGGAGGAAGAAGAGGAGGAGGAGGAGAAAGAAGAAGACAAAAGGAGGACGAGGTGAGAAGGAGAAGAACTAATAACAGATAATGTACTCTTTAATGTTTGTAAAGCATTTTACAGACACGATTCTCATCCAAGCCTCACAGCAACCCTGTATACAAATATAATCATTGTCATATTACAGATAAGCAAACTGATGCTCAAAAAAGGTGAAGCCACTTGTGATTTCAGGGGCAGGATTTGAATATGAGCCTTCCTAACATGGCACAGTGGAAGGTGTCCAATTTGGAGTCACACCTGGGTTCGGGTCCCAGCTCTGCTACTAATTATCTGTATGACCTTAGCCGACTCACTCCACATCTCTGGGCCTCAGACTACATGAACTATAAGTCCCTTTCTAAACCTAAATCTATGATTCCCTGATGACAAATCTAGCCCTTTATCCACCCATCATGCCCCACAGCCCCTGGGTAAATTGTGTGAATATATGTAAATTATAATAATATTCACCAATGATGAGAACACTTCCAGTGTTCTCTTTTCATAATGTAAAGAAATCACTTTCTGCTGGATTGGTTTGAGTCAGTTCAACTTTAGCCCATTCTACCTATAAGAGGATCACAGTACCATTTAGAGCTGGAAAACACCACCTAGTGCACCCCCTCATTGTACAGATGGGGAAACTGAGGCCCAGAAAGGTCAAGAAACTGCCTAAGGTCACAGGTTGTTAGTGGCAAAGTCAGGATTTGAACCCAGATCTCCCTGCAAATGCAGCACTCTGGCCACGGTGCCACATTGTCATGGAGGAAGTTGGCCACACCAAACTGGCTTGAATGCTTCTTCCTATAGGTCCTTGAAGGCCTCTTTGTTCTCTGAGACAAATTGGGAGAAACTCTTGACCTTGGGGTGGAGCCTGTGTGTGAGCTTCACATCTCTGTCTGGCTTCATGTGACAGAAGCGCATCATGTTAGCTATTTCCTGGGCTCCAGGGAATCCCAGCTTCTCATAAGCTTCTGGGGTGATCTGTGAAGGAAAAGAGAGAGAAAGAGAGCACAGCAGGAAACGTTACTGCCCTGCTAGCATGTTAAATTTAGGATACACATTTTTTAAAGGTAAGTTGTATGTAATCGAGATTTATAGTTTCATGTAATTCTCCTTTTCTGTTCTTTGTCTATGGAAATGTTCATCTGTGTCAGTGTTTGTTGATGAGATCACAAGATTGTAGATTTACAGCAGGTGGAGATCTTAGAAGACATTCAGTCCACCTCCATATTTTACAGATGGGGAAACTGAGGCACAGAGTGGTACATTGGCTTGCCCAAAGATGCATAGGTAGCAAGTGAGGGATCACAAGATCTGTCTTTAAAGGGACCTAGAAGGGACCTCAGAAGCCATCTAGTTGAACCCCTTCATTTTATAGTTGGGGAAACTAAGCCAGAAGCAACTTGTCCACTGACACATATTTTTTTTTTTGAAGAACATTTTAGAAAGAAACATTATTGGCCAAGTTCCAAACAGTGCCAATGAAAGATTCACACACTGGATTGTTATCAAGCCAAATCCTCACTTGAATATCAGCTGTGGAAGAGGACCTCAGGGGTCACCTGGCCCAGGTCACACCCAAAGCAAGAATTCCCTCTATAGACAAGCAGACAAATAGTCTTCCAGACTCCCCTTGAAGACTCTCTGGGGCCTTTTCTCCTCTCCCTCTACTCCTTTGCCTTTAACAGTCCATTCCAGGCTCATTATCAGAGCTGCAACTAGCAGCTCTCCCCAGAAGACAGACCTGTATTTCCAGCTCTGACCTCTCTCCTGACCTCTGCTCTCATCTTCACTACCACCACCGGCCCGCCCCCCCCCCACAGACACAAAAGTATCACCCGGATTTGAGCTCCACAGGTTGAAAAGTGACCCCATTGTGTAATGTCTTCCTAAACCTGAGCCTCTGACTTCCCCCTCTGCCTAGGGAGCTACCATTCCTTCATCCAATCTCCCGTTTGTAAAGCCTTCTTCTCTTTGACCGTGCTCCCTCAGCACTCACATGGTAGCAGTTACTAAGCCCTCTTGCTAGTCCCTCACAATGTCCCTGTCCCGGCTCGCTTCTCCTCCATTCCCACCATCTCAGTAGAGTTCCCCAGGACCATTCACCTGCTTCCTGCCTTAGCTTCCTCTCTCCTCCTTCCAATCCACTCTTTACTCTGCTACCAGCCTAACTGCCCTTTTACCTAGATTTAGTCAAGCCACTCCTCTCATCAAAGTCCTTCAATAGCTTCCCATTGCCCACGGGGTAAAGCTCAAAGTCCTTTACCCAGAATTCAAAGGCCTCCACCATCTTTCTGAGCCTTACGTGCTGTATTGCTCCCCTCTGCCTGCACCCTGAGCCAGCCAAACTGGGCTACTCTGCACCTGACATCATGGCATTGGCCCTGGAGTCTGAGAACCTACCTTCAAACAAATCCTACCTCTGACGCGATGGCCTGTGAGACTTTGGACAAATCACTTCATCTGCATGGGCCTCAGTTTCCCCATCTTTCAAATGAGGAGATTGAACCTAATGCCCTCTAAGGTTCCTCCTACTTCTGGATTAATGACCTTCTGTGCCTGTGCTGACTCTCTTCCTTTCCCCTGGAATGTCCTCCCTACCCCTCTTCTCAGCATGGTCAGAGAGAAACAGAAAGAGAAAGACAGAAAGGGACATCGGGAAAGCGAAAAGAAGAAGAGAGTTGCACAGAGAGAGAGAAGAGAAGGAGAATGTGTGACCTGATTGCACGTGTATAACCTATATCAGATTGGTTGCCGTCTTAGGGAAAGGGCAGGGATGGTGGGAGGGAGGGAAAAAATTTTGGAACTCAAAATCTTAAAATAAAATTCTATTTACAAGAAGGGAAAGAGAGAAAGACAGAGAGAAAAACAGAGAGGGAGAAACGAGGGAAAGAGAGAGAGAGGGAGAGAGAGATTTACTAAGCACTTACTATATATAAAGGCACTTTGCTAAGTGCTAAGGATGCAGACAATCCCCGCCCTTAAGGAGTTTACATCCCAATAGGAGGAGATGGTGCAAAATGGGAAGCCCCACTCCTCTTTAGGGCTCCTGTCTCTGCCTGGGCCCCACTCCTCCTCCCTCCTGCTTCCCCCAGAATCTTTCCCACAATCCATCCCTCCTTCCTGGGGCATCTTCACTTCCTCCCTCTCTGCTGACTCCTTCTGTCTGCCTGCAAACCTGCCCAGGCACAGTCTCCACTCCTGCCCTCTTTCTACCTCTTCCAGCTCCTCTCTCCTCCTATCTCCCTCCTCCTTCACTCATAAAGTCCTAGCAAAGCTGTCCCACACTAAGCCTGCATTGCCTCGTCCCCCACCTCGGGTCTTGCCTTTGCTCTCCCCGAGGTCTCCAGTGATTTCCTAGTCTCCAGTGATTTCCTAGTCCCCAGATTCAATGCCTTCCATTCATTGTGGCTCCAGTTTAGGGTCCTAGAGATAATGCCACAAGGAGCTCATTTTGCAGATTTGGAAACTGAGGCCTTGGAAGGTTCTGTTCCTTCCTTTGACACTTCCTGCGGGACCTCAGGGCCTCAGTTTTCCCTTCTGTAAAATGAGAGGGCTGGACAATATAGACTGTGAGGTCCCTTTCAGCTCCATGTCCATGACTGACGTCTCTTCCCCTCTTCAGGCCTCAGTTTCCCCATCAGTAAAACAAGGGGGTTGGATTAGATGGCCTTGGAGATCCCTTTCCAAATGTCAAGTTATGATCCTTTCATAATGCAAATCATTTTTCTATGCAAAAAGCCTGGGAGAGGGTTCAGATACCATTCGTTTGCCTGTCCTGAGAAATCTGCTTTTGCAGCAGCTCCAGCTGCTTATTAATGAGACACTGCTTCCACTGGCCTCCTCTCCACATCAGAACCAAGTCAGGCAATGGCCTGAGTGGTTTCCGGGTACCCAGCACTCGGAGTCTTCTTGACTCCAGGCCCTGCATTCTATCCCCCCAGCCACAAGCTGCCCCAAAAGACACCTTAGAGACCATCCAGTCCAATGTTCTCATTTCACAAGGTAGTAAACTGAGGCCCCAAAAGGTAAAATTACTTTCCCCAGGTCTCACAGAGAGTCAAGTGGCAGAGGAGGGATTTGAATTCAGAGCTATGGCTCTGTCACACTGCCTCTGCATTCGCCATCTTTGTGACCATTGGCCTTCCCTATACTTTAATTCCTTCATCTGCAACGTGGAGATAACATGCCTTGCACTAACACGCTTTGTAAGCCTCAAAGAAGTGAGAGCCTTGCTCCTGGACTCACTTGTCTGTGCACAGATGCCTCTGGCTCTCTGTTAAGGCAAGAACAGCCTTCCAGAAGGGTCAGCAGAAGTGCCTAAAAGAGTCACAGCTTTCCTTGCCGTTTCTAGGCCAGTAGACTAGCCCACACACCACAAAAAACTTTAAATGGAAGACCAGAGGCTGGCTCACTGCTGGGGTTGGGGCGCCACCATGTGGCCAGATCCAGTCTCTCAAGCCTTTTAAAACTATGGTCATTGTTCATTGTTGAAAACCCAAACGGATAATTCGGCTTTTGGGATCCTTATGTGATCTCAGAATCAGAAGGGACCTTATAGATGATGGAATCCAGCCCTGAAGGCCATGTTTATCACAAAGGCCTGTGTCGCGTAATCACAGCCTGGCAGACACCCACAGCAGTAAGCAGTGTGACCATTTTACTCCTCCACTCAAAAAGCCCTCTTTTAAAAGCCTTGTGCTTCTGTCATTCAGTCAGGGCTGACTCTTCATGACCCCTTGCACCATAGCAGGCCAAGCCCTTCTATCCTCCACTATCTCCCAAAGACGGTCCAAGCTCATGTTCATTGCTTCTATCCTCTACCTTCCCCTTCTCCTTTTGTCTTCAATCTTTCCCGACATCAGGTTTGGGTTTTTGCTCGTTTTTTTTTTTCCCATGAGTCCCATCTTCTCATGATGTGGCCAAAGTACTGAAGCTTCTTTACTGCCCCCAAAATAAAATGCATGCTCCTCTGCTGCTCACTTAAAGTCCTTCATGCTCTGGCTCCAGCCATCCCAGCTAGGCCACTCCTTCAGAACATTCCAGCTCCCAGTTACATGTAGCCTCCCGGGTCTAGAAAGAATCAATGCATGCCTAAATGCATGAGCCAATGAATTAATGAATGAATGGAGTGGGTGAAGGAAGGAAACCATGAATGAAGGAATGCAAAATGAATGAATGCATCCATGGATCAGTGAGTGAACAAATATATTAAATAATGTAATTAAATGCCCACTATGTAAGTGCCAGGTACTATGCTAAATTCTGGGAACTCAAAGAAAGGCAAAAACACAAATACTTCCTGCCCTCTAGGAGCTCACAATCTAATGGGGGGGGGAGACAATAAGCAAACAAATATATACAAACAAGCTATCTACAAAATAAATAAAGAAGTAAATAAGAGAGAGAAGGCACCAGAATTTACAGAGATTGGGGTAGGCTTCCTACAGTACATGGCACTTTAGTTGAGACTCGAAGGAAGCCAGTAGGTGGAGATGACAAGGAACACCGTTCCAGACATGGGAGACAGCCAGAGAAAATGTCTGGAGCTGAGAGATGGAGGGTCTTGTTCCTGGAACAGCCAAGATGCCAGGAAGGCTGAGCAAAGGGTACCTGGGCTGAGGTTATAAGGTGGAAGGTGGTTGTAAGGTGGAACAGGTTATGAAGGTGGGTTTAGTCGCTCAACCTCCCTCAGCTTCCTCATTGGTAAAATGGGGGCTGCTATAGCTTCTGCCTCACAGAGTCACTGTCACGCTCAAAGGAAATAATATATGCAAAGCACTTAGTGAATCTTAAACCTTGATATAAACGTTAGCTATTACTAATTCTCTTTTTTTATTACTATTCTTAGGCAATTGGGGTTAAGTGACTTGGCCAGGGTCACTGAGGCCACATTTGAACTCAGGTCCTCCTTACTTCAGGGCCAGTGCTCTATACACTGCACCACCCAGCTGCCCCTATTACTAATTCTTAAAGTACAAGGATTCTTCCCCATTACCTATGAAATCCCATCATCAATCACCCACTAACAATGACTGGCTTGTCCCCACCCACAGACTTTCCCAGAATTCCCAGGTGAACAGATGCTTCCCCTCAAGTAGGAGAAAAGGGGTCCACAAGCACTGTTGTTTCTGGCCTGTCAAGGCTCACCTTGGCGTCTTTAATCACTTTCCCCAAGACCTTGGACAGGATGTCTGCATACTGCTGAACTGTCAGGGCTTCTGCACTGAGACCCACGGCCTTGCCCAGGAACTCTTCTGGGGATCGGAAGATACTAACGACCGCCGGTCCAACGTCAGCAACAGAGATGCCATCCATGGGGATGTCCTTCATAGGCACCACTGGCCAACACAGAAGAACAATCAATTACAACAGACCCTCCCACAGCACGTTCCTCCCAGAGCCCATTGGCCACTCAGATGCAGTGTGGGCTGGATCACCATAAGGGGTTAAAAGCCTCACACAGGTAGGAGATCACAGTCCATCAATGAGCATTTGCTTCTAGCTCTCTGGGGCAGTAGCTGGGTTAGGCCCTAAGGCTGCGTGGACAAAAGCCTGGAAGTCTCTGCCTCCTGGGACCTTGCCCTCTATTGGGAGAAACAAACCATGCACACAATAAACGCAAGGTAATTGGTGGGGCACGTGGGGGCACAAGCACCTGAGGGGCACCGCAGGTAGTGGTCCCTGAGCTAAGCTTTAAAGTGAACTAGAGCCTAAGAAGCAGAGGGAAGAAGGGAGTGCGTTCCAGGCATGGGGGAGAGAGAGTCCTTCAAAACGAAAAGTGTCCCCCGAGGAACCTCTGACTTTTCTGGGGCCAGCCTCTCTGGCCACAGGCTGTCTGTGTGCTACAGCTGACCTATAGGAGGCAGTGTGGTAAAGGGGAAAGATACTGCCTCTGGAGCCAGAGGACCTGACTCCAAACTTCAGACATTGGTCAAGTCCCTTTAGCATCCTGGGCCTCAGTTTTCTCCTGTGTAAAAGGGGGAAGTGGACCAGATGGCTACTGGGAGCCTTCAGCTCTAGTTCCTGTCTAGTTCCCCCAACCAGCCCCCATAATGGGGAATCTTCCTTACAGCCTGGCTCATCCATGCTCCCCACCCTACCCACCTGTGATGTCAGAGGCAGGAAGCTCACCATACAATGCTGAGGGAGACCCTGTCAAACACCTGGACCAATTCCACATCAGGACACAAGTCTGTTGTTCCTCTTGTCTCCTCCATTAGAACATCAGCCCCTAAAGGGCAGTGATTTCGGAGGAGAGGCTTCATCTTTGTACCCACAGGACGTAGCCCAGCTGTGGGGCTGGGTTATTAGCATTCGTAGACCAATATATTTATAGATTAGCAACTATAGATTGATTGATATAGTGACACTTAAAAACCTCTTCTTGACTCATTAGAGGCAACTTTGGCATCTCTGCAGTCTGGAAGTTCCCGAGGCCTGGGGTAGCCCAGGAAAGGGTAGCAGATCATTCACGGATTCATTCATTCCAAAATATTTACTAAGCAAAGCGTTGAGTGCCTTATCCTGGCTCTCTTCTGCTTTGACTGGTCTCAGGCTGAGACCAGCTGCTGGTCCCAGATCTTAAGGTCCCAGATCTAGGCCTGAAACGGACCTCAGAGGCCAACCCCACTCATTGTACAGAGGAGGAAACTGAGGCACAGGGAGCTTAAGTGACTGGAAGAACACAGAGCTGGAAAAGACCTCAGAGGCCTCCCTCATTTTACAGATGAACAAACTGAGACCCAGAAGGTTAAGTGACCTGCCACTGTCACATGGATAGTAAGTCTCAGAGGCAGGATTTGAACCTAGTCCTCAGACCCCAAATCCAGGGCTCTTTCCACTAGCGGACACTGCCTCCCATGTGTTTTATACATCTTTGCACCTCCCTCCCTCACCCCACCAGGGCCTTGCATGGGATCAGAGACTAGAAGGGATCCAGAAGGGACCCCAGAGGGGGTGAGGAAGTGATGAGACTTGCCCAAGGTCACTCAGCCAGCAAGTGTCTGGTAGAATATGAATCCAAGGCTTTCAGAGTTCAAATGCAGTCCTCTGTCCACTAACAATCA